TGGGCTTGTATATTTTTAAAGAAATCAATATGCAGAACTTTGCCTTCCACAAGTGCTGTTCTTAAGAATGGATCTTGCTCCTAAATGTAAGAGTTATAACTCTAAAACTCTTAGAGGAAAACTGAAGGGGAAAGCTTTATGTGTTGGATTTGGCAATGATCTTTTAAAGGATATGACACCAAGGGCACAGTCAGCAAAAGGAAAAATAGGCAAATTGGACTTCATTAAAATTAAAAACTTCTGTGTTCAAAGAACACTGTCAACAAGATAAAAGGCAACTCACAAAATGGGAGAAAACATTTGCAAATCACATGCCTGGTAAGGGATTAATATTTAGAATATGTAGAAAACTCCTAAACTCAACAATACCAACAAATAACGTGTATTAAAAAATGGGCAAAGGACTTGAATAGACATTTCTTCCAAAGAGGATATACAAATGGCCAATAAGTACATGAAAAGATGCTCAGCATCATTAATGATAAGGGAAATGCAAATCAAAACCACAGTGAGATACCACTTCACACCCATTAGAATGGCTGTTACTAAAATACGAAAAATCAGAGTAGTTAAGTGTTGGTGAGGATGTGGATGAATTGGAACTTGTATCATTCTGCTAGTGCTGCCATAACAAAATACCACAGACTAGGTGGCTTAAACACCGGAAAATTATTTTCTCGCAGTTTGGAGACTGACGGCTAAGATCAAGGCATCAGCAGGGTGAAGTTTTGGTGGGGCCTGTCTCCTTGACTTGCAGAAGGCCCTCCTGGCCATGTCCTCACATTAGCTTTTCCCTGTGCGTGCATTTTTGGTTTCTTTTCCACTGACACCAGTCCTGCTGGATTGGGGCCCCACCCTTGTAGCCTCTGTCAACCTTAATTACCTCCCCAAAGGCCACGTCTCCAAATACAGTCACCTTGGGAGTTAGGGCTTGAAGCTGTGGGGAACACAATTCAGTCCATAACAGAACCATTTGTGCCCTGTTGCTGGGAAGGTAAAATGATGTAGCTGCTGTGGAAAACAGTATGGTGGTTCCTTGAAAAGTTAAAACTAGAATTACCATATGATCTACCAGTTCTACTGGGTGTATATATCTTCAAAAGAACTGATCTCAGATATTTGTATGTGCATGCTCATTGTTCACATTATCCAAAAGATGGGAGAGTCCAAATGTCCATCAGTGGATGAGTAGGTAAAATATAGCATGTGTACACAGTGGAATATTATTCAACCTTAAAAAGAAATTAAATCCCAATAGATGATAATATGTATGAACCTTGAAGACATTATGCCAGGTGAAAAAAGCCACTCATGAAAGAAGAAATACTCTTTAATTTCACTGGAATTAAGAGGTACTTAGAGCAGTAAAAAAACATAAAGTAGAATGGTGGTTGCCAAGGACTGGGTTAAGAGAGAGGTGGGGAGTTACTGTTTAATGGGTATAGAGTTTCGGTTTTACAAGATGAAAAAAGCTTGGACTGATGGGGATAAAAGTTGGAAAACACTGTAAATATACTTATCCTTCTTAACTGTAAAATGGTAAACTTAAATGTATTTCACAATTTTAAAAATAATTTTTTTTAAATGGTTTTTATTGATTCTCCATTTCCGCCTCCCCTTATGGGGGCTTCTCTGGTAGCTCAGTTGGTAAAGAATCCACCTGCAATGCTGGAGACCTTGGTTAGATTCCTGGGTCGGGAAGATCCCCTGGAGGAGGGATAGGCTACCCACTCCAGTATTCTTGGGCTTTCTTAGTGGCTCAGCTGGTAAAGAATCCCCCTGCAATCCAGGAGACCTGAGTTTGATCCCCGGGTTGGGAAGATTCCCTGGAGAAGGGAAAGGCTACCCACTCCAATATTCTGACCTGGAGAATTCCACAGACTATATAGTCCATGGGGTTGAAAAGAGTTGGACACGACTGAGTGACTCTCACTTCACTTTCTTACTAATGCTTCTCTCACTTTACCAAAATGTCAGCTTTCCATTTGATATCTAAATGAAATACACTACCCCAGGAAGGATCCCCTTTCGGACACCAAACCGTTTATGTCATCGTCCGCTGAAGAATATTTGGGTTGTTCTCTTTTTTTTAAAGCTATTATGAATAAAGTTGTGAACGTTTTTCTTCCAGTCTTTTATTTTCATGTATCTTAAGCAGACACTTAGAAGTTCAGTTGCTGGGTCATGAGTGATATTTCTCAGACCAGTTTCTAAACTGGTTGTACCAATTTGTGGTCTTTTAAGTAGTGTATGAGGTCTGATTGCTGGAAATCCTTGTGTATTTGATTTTGTAAGTCTTTTTAATTTTAACTGTTCTAGTGGGTGTGTATCGGTGGTTTTAATCCATTTTCCTTATGGCTAGTAATAGTGAGCATTTGTCAGACATGTGTTATAAATATTTACTCCCTGTTGTGTAGTTTACCTATTCATTTTTCAGTGTCTTTTGAAGAACAGATTTTAACTTTAATATTTTTCTTTATGATTAATGCTTTCTGGTTCCTTTATAGAAGTCTTTGCTGATACCATCTCAATGGTTGTTGTTGTTTTTTTTCCTTGGCCATCTGGCTTTTGACATCTTTATTCCTCAACCAGGGATTGACCTTGGGCTACCTCAGTGAAAGTGCCAAGTCTTAACCACTGGACCACCAGGGAATTCCCTATGTTTTCTTTTAGAAGCATTATAGTTTTAGCTTCTACATTTATGTAGATCCACTTTCAATCTTAATTTTTGAATGTGGTATGATGGTAAGCAAAGCATGGTTCTGGAGAGGAAGCCTGAAAAACCACTATCATAATTGAGGAGCAGTCTTTTCAAGGCTGGGTAACTGAAATGAATACATTTAACTTTTTTTTTTTTAATGAGAATTTGTAGGGGATGGGGGCAAGGGTACTTCCAGCAGCCACTAGTTCTAGCTCCAAAGGGCATATTAAAATTTCTGCTGTTTAAAAACTCATAGTTGGATCTTGGTTGGGTAGATGCTCACACCAATCCCTGCCTGTCATGCCTCCTTGATGCTATAGCTGAGTGTCCTGTTTGCTCCAAAGCATTTACTTCGGAAAAATTAGAGTGCTTAAAGCAGGTACAGGCCTGCTGTATACCACAGCTAAAACTAATGGAATGGGACCCCCAGTTCTGCTTTGTTGGCCTTTGGAACTTAGGTCATGACTTGAGAGGGATGGCCCCGGGTTTTGATATTATGCTGTTAACGAGGTTGATTTCTTGGACCTGTGCAGGATGGACCCGAAGCAAAGTATTTGCCAAGAATTTTTTATTAATTAAGAATCAAAGGCAGAGGAAGCTCAAAAAGAGTCATCTGATATCATGGTTCTAACCTTAAAGGCTGCTGACCTACAATGGGGAGGCTTTATTCCCACACCCATTGGTTGGTTTCCAAGAAACCAAAGCCTTTCTTTATATTCTGGGGGAGTGTGCTTGTAAAGCTGAAAATTAAAGGAATCCATGAGAAGTGCATCACTGGATTGTAGTCCATAGCTTAATGTGATGCTTGTTGTCTCTTGGAGAATGACCCCTGTTCACCCACTGTCCATGTGGAGTTACTTTTCATTTCAACCATCAAAACTCTTATTTGCCTATTTACTACCACCACCAAGATCTGAACCCTCAGACAAGGCCTGCCAGCTCAGCTTCCTAGATCCCACCCCCAATAGATGCAGCACAGCAATACGTAGAAGGGGCCCTGTGGTGAGTAAAACTAGGATGTAAGTCCAGGTGAACTCAAGTGTCTTGTCTGGGTATGCTTGTTGCATTCTGAATTTTTTCATATCTATATTGCCTTGGAAATTGTAACTTCTCACAGTATTTTCACCACGACTTCTCCCATATCTGAGTCTATAGTCTGCTTTTTAGTTTTATTAGCAGTGCCTGCCGCTTCCCCCACCAGAGTTCTGTTAGGTAAAACAGAGGCAAGTACTTTGCATCAGTCCTTTAGCCTCTCCCCCATACAGAAAAGAACATTGCTAGAACAGAAGTACATAGTAATTTACAAATCACCTTTCCCTTTGATTTAAGGGAGGGAGCTGGGAAAGTGGGCTGCCACTGCTTCAAGACAAACCACTGCCATGCTGGGGTGAGGGGTGGGTCAGGGATCACCCAAAACTTTCTGATTATTTTGAGAATGACTGTTTTTTCATTGAGCATTCATTTGGTCATCGTAAAGCTTTGACTGTTTTCTAAAGGCTGGACAAAGTTGGTTCAGACTGCTTGTTTTTTAATGTTTCTGTGGAGGAAGAAGGCTTTGAAATTTCATAGTCTGCTGTTTTTGTTGATGTGGGTTGTGTTTTCACTCTCCTGATAGTGTACTGTGATGCAGAAAAGTTTTCAGTTTTGATCAAGTCTACTTTATCTGTTTTTTCTTTTGTCACGGTAAGAAACCATTGCCAAATCCAAGGTCATAAAAGTTTGCCTCCTTTTGGGAATTCCCTGGTGATCTAGTGGTCAGGACTTGGCTCTTCACTGCCTAGGCTAGGGTTCAGATGGGGAACTGGTATGCCACAGGCGGTGCCGTGTGACCAAAAAAAAGTTTGCCTCTTTTTTGGTAGCTGGAGTGCAGGTCTTATGAGGACTTCTTAGTCTTAGGTTACGTGCTCATCTTCAGAGCAATCACTGTGGTAATAGACTGTTCTGATTAGCCAGGCTGAATAGTATAGGATCAGCCATGTGGACTGAGGGTAGTAAATAAAACATAGTAAGGTGCTGTTTCCAAAAAAGAATATAGAATGGGTGCTGGAAAATTTAATAAATGTTTTATGAAGCATTCTTAGTACTTTGAGAGATTGATGATGCCCTATTTTAAATTTAAATTTAAAATGTGTTTTTGTTGCTGTAAATTAATATGTAAATGTTTAAAAGTGACTTCTAAAAATATCCTTGCTGATGTGGTCCCTGATAAGCCAAACAGGAGGAAATTGGTTTAGTCTTTACTTCATATACCCACATACTCATTTATTGTGGTTTGTTTTGTACAGGTACTGCTATAACCAGAGTTTGGTAGCTAAAAGATCTACTTTTTGGGCCCTCTTGACATAGAAAGAGATGTGGGGGGATTCTCGATCTGCTAACAGAACAGGACCTTTTCGGTAAGTCTTAAAATTTGAATATTGAAGTGTCTATTATAACATTGTAGATCTGTATAATATTTATGGCCTACTATAAAGAGGGATTATTTTCTTTGTGTAGAAATAGCTTTTGATTTTTTTTCCCTGATTTTTAAAAATAGAAACTACTTAAAATTTTTCTAGTCATTTCTAGAGTGATCATGAGAGTGAATACCTACCCTTCCAAGTATTTTGTGTATTAGCATTTTATTTATTTATTTATTTATTTATTTATTATTTTTTTTGGTGTATTAGCATTTTAAAAATATTAACCAAAAATCCCCCAGTTTTTGTTTTGTTTTCTTTTTTTTGTTTGTTTGTTTTTTCTTTTTTTTTCCCCCCAGTTTTTAAAAAAATTTTTTATCTTTTTTAGTAAAGTAATATGTACTCAACTAATAAGGAAAAATGTATAAGTAAAAATGTATAAAAGTGTTTATAAATGAATGTGAATGTTTCATTAAGTTTGGTAATTATGTCTAGAATCCAGAGCTCTGTCCTTCCTATGACATGTTGTATTTCAGCCACCAGAAATAGTTGTGAGAAAGAAAAACTATTTACTTGATGCAGTTTCCTAAGCTGCATTACAATTTTAGGGGTTACTTGGTACAAAGATAAGAGGAGAACGTGGTACTATTCATAGTTGTAAGTGAATTATATTACAGATTTGTCTGGAGAATGAATTACATTCTTTCTATACAATAAAATTATATAAATTTTATTGAATTTATAATTCAATAAAATGAATTATATTATCAATAAGTGGAGAAGGTGGTACCATTAATAGTTGTAAATGAATTATATTATAGATTTATAGGGAGTGAATTTTTTATAGTCAGTGTAATAAACACTGATGATGATATTTTGAAAACTTTTGCATTGTGTTCACAATTAATGAAATGCTATAGGGATGTGACTTATGGCTGTAGTTTGTGTATGGCAAAGAAATCTTACTTTTAAAGTTATACATTAAAAAATATTTATGCTCCAGGGAATTCCCTGGCAGTCCAATGGTTAGAGCTCCATGCTCTCACTCCCAGGGGCCTGGGTTCAGTCCCTGGTCAGGGAACTAAAATCCCACAAGCCTCTGCAGCATGGTCAAAAAAAATATTATGCTCCAATTGAAACTTTTGTTACAAGTAAGTTTCCTTTTGGACTGGCAGTCTGCAGGATCTTCCTGTGCAAATTGAACAGTTATTTTATTATTCTGAAGTTTGGGGCTCCCATGGAAAATTTAGGTAGAAAAGTAAGTTTAGAAATAAATCCATGAAAAAAAAAATCCATGTAACAGTTAGTAAAGCTAGTTTTGTGAATAAAGGGATCTTTACTTTCTGCTTAGCAATCTTTAAAGCAGCGGTAGTGCTGCTGGTTATGTTTATCCTTTAAAAAAATTAAGGTCTGGATCAGTGGTCAACAGACTGCAGCTTGTTTTTGTTTGACTGGAACATAGCCCTGATCATTCATTTACAAATTGTCTGTAGTTGCTTTCATGTTGCAGGGACAGAGTTGAATAGTTGTGACAGAAACTGTAAAGCTTAATGTAATTACTGTCTGACTCTTTATGGAAGAAATTTGCAGATCCCTAGTCTAGATTAGTGCGTTTGTACTTTAATGTTTAAAAATCTATCCTTTTACTTATATTTATGGATAATTATTTTCTGTGTAAGGCTGTTTACACTAAGCCTTCAGAGCTAAAAAAATAACTTTAGCTCTATTGTCTCACTGAAAAATTTTTTTCAGAACATTTTTTTCTTTGAATTTATTATATAAATTGTATTTCCCCACCTTAATTTTAGTTTAAATATAAGTCAATACATACCATTTTTTAAGGTCTTTGATTGGAGAGAGACATACTTTACATAGCATAACTTTTGGGAGGGGACTAATTTGGGTGAAAAAGGTATCTTGCAGGAAAATGATTTTGTATTTATTTTAACAACTTGTCTTAAAAATTTGGTTGAAAATGATTTTCATAGCCACTGCTGTTTCATAACTAGTAGAACTGTTTCTTGAATAATCTACATAAAATACAGTTCTGAGAACCCTAGTGTAGTGTTTACTGTAGATGTATTTGATTTCAGTTTTACCTGGTAAGGTAATCTTTAGGGTAGTATTCAAAGACAGTGTTGTATGTGTTTTGGTCAGAGAACATGTAGATTTAGATAGCTCAGCACTGAGCCCATGAATGTCTCCTTAGGCTTAAGTCTTCCTACAAGCTAACTATTAGGATCTGAATGATTTTAAATATGGGTGACACTAGAACTAGTGGTAGTGTCTTAATTTTAGTGTTAAGTTGTATAATTTATGAAGCACATTTAAACTTGCTTCTCTTATGATGAACCCCATACATATAAATAATGTTAATATTTTTGTGTTAATGAAGCTAATGGAAGTTATGTTCTGAAAATCTATTAAATATGCATCATTCTACTGTTTGGGTTACTACTGTTAAATTTCTATTACTCCAGGAAAGGGTTTGGCATTGTAACTGTTGCTCTTGAACTGAGTGACCCAGAAGCAGTTGTCTGTTGAGTCTTTCTATAGCACTGTAGTCCGAGTTCAGAAGGGTCATATAATAGAACCTATATTTTCTGAGAGGAGAGAACTGAGTGGAACTTGATCTCTTAATACTTTTGTTTTGCTGCTGAATAGTAGGTAACCATTCAGATCGTTTTATGTTTTCCTTTTTCATGCCCTCCTCTCCCCTTCAAGCTCAGGATCCTAGGTACCTAATTGCCTATTTAAATTCCCTGTCTTTTACCAAAGTCAAAACATATAAAATGGTCTGGAGCTAGGTAGTGTGAAAGATAGGGCCAGTTCTCATTCATGTCTTGAGTCCTGTAAACTGAGAATGTGAATTTAATACTATGTTTTAAAATATATTATATTACCATGAAAAATTAGACGAGGCATTAGAATCTAAAAAATCAGCTTGTTTGGGACCTGGGGATAAAGCATGAAAGCCTAATGCTCTCTCTGGGTCCCTTTCAGCATTAAGCTCCTGGATGCTGTTGCTTGGTTTGGTCAACTTACACATGCTATGTGGCATGATTCATGCTGCCTTCTGAGATACCTTTGAGTAGTTATAATAATAGGACCCAGGTGAGAGCGCTTCTAGGTGGCGCCACTGTGGAACCGGGGTTTAGATGCAGCCAGAGGTGATGCTCAACTGGTGAACGCTAGTGTACTCCAACTAGTGGCTTACAGCTAGTGTTATCTTCATTTGGGGCCTTCATCCGTTCTGATTGGGTGGTGTCCACTCTGTAGCTGTCAATCAGATATTTTGGAATGTTACTCTTGCTTGCACCAATGAGAAAGACACGTCCTGAAACCTACTGTATAAAATTTACAGCGCATTGATTTTTCTGATGTATAGGAATCATCGTGTTGATCTTGGAATTCTAAGTTCCCTGGCTGTAGGAAATGGAAATTTTTGTAGAGTGTCACCATTGCTAGCTTATCTGGTGTTGCGGATTTTCCCTGTTGCAGGACTGGGTGAAAGCTTTTTCTGCAGCAGTCATGTTGAAAACCTTGTGTTGACTTTCCTCGTGTTCTGAAATGGGAACTTAAAAGTTAACTCCGCCACTTCGTCTTAAAATAGCAAAACATTGCTGTTTTCTGCAGATCTAGGACCTTGTTACAGAACTCTGCCAAAAAAAAAAAAATGTTTACAGAAGAATGTGCTGTGATTAGAGAAGAATATGCTGGTGTGTAGATTTCAAACTCTCTGGACAATATGAATAACACTGTCTTTGTTTCTACAGTGGGAGCCAAGAAGAAAGGTTTGCTCCCGGGTGGAACAGGGATTATCCTCCTCCTCCCCTTAAGAGTCATGCTCAAGAGAGACACTCTGGCAACTTTCCTGGCAGAGATTCACTTCCCTTTGATTTCCAGGGGCATTCGGGGCCTCCCTTTGCAAATGTAGAGGAGCATTCTTTCAGCTATGGAGCTAGAGACGGACAGCATGGTGACTATCGAGGAGGGGAGGGCCATGGACATGATTTCAGGGGGGGAGATTTTTCATCTTCTGATTTCCAGAGCAGAGATTCATCGCAGTTGGACTTCAGAGGTAGGGACATCCATTCTGGGGACCTTCGGGATAGAGAAGGGCCACCTATGGACTATCGGGGTGGAGACAGTACTTCTCTGGACTACAGAGGCAGGGAGACATCTCACATGAACTACAGAGACAGGGAGGCTCATACTGGTGACTTTAGAGGTAGGGATGCTCCTCCTCCTGACTTCAGGGGCCGGGGCACTTACGACTTAGATTTTAGAGGGCGGGATGGAGCCCATGCAGATTTTAGGGGAAGGGATGTATCAGATTTGGATTTCAGGGCCAGAGATCAGTCCCGTTCTGATTTTAGGAATAGAGATGTATCTGATTTGGACTTCAGGGACAAAGACGGAACCCAGGTGGACTTCAGAGGCCGAGGTTCAGGTACTAGTGATCTAGACTTTAGGGACAGGAATACACCACATGCAGATTTCAGAGGTAGACACCGATCCAGGACTGATCAGGATTTTAGGAGCAGAGAGGGGGGAACGTGTATGGAATTTAAAGATAGGGAGATGCCCTCTGCGGATCCAGATATTTTGGATTACGTTCAGCCCTCCACACAAAACAGAGAACATTCTGGTATGAATGTGAACAAGAGAGAAGAATCTGCACATGACCATACAACGGAAAGACCTGCTTTTGGCATTCAGAAGGGAGAATTTGAGCATTCAGAAAGAGGAGAAGGAGAAAAACAAGGTGTAGCCTTTGACCATGCATCTCCACCAGACTTTCAGAACAGCCAAAGTCCTCTTCAAGACCAGGACAAGTCACAGCATTCTGGAGGTGAACAACAGAGCTCGGATGCTGGTATGTTTAAAGAAGAAGGTGGTCTGGACTTTCTTGGCCGTCAGGACACTGATTACAGAAGCATGGAGTACTGTGATGTGGATCACAGACTGCCCGGAAGCCAGATATTTGGCTATGGCCAGAGCAAGTCTTTTCCTCAGTATTCTTGCCTGGAGAATCCCAGGGATGGGGGAGCCTGGTGGGCTTCCATCTATGGGGTCGCACAGAGTCGGACACAACTGAAGTGGCTTAGCAGCAACAGCAAGCCGGACTCTAGAGAACAGACTCAGCAGTTGTACGAATGGGCTTAGTTGCTCTGTGGCATGTGGGATCTCCCCAGATCAGGGATTGAACCCATGTCTCCTGCATTGGCAGGTGGATTCTTTACCACTGAGCCACCAGGGAAGCCCTGGATTGCTTTGTTGAGTTTTGCTTCTTCATAAGACTTTTCTGAAGGATGAAGTATAGAGACCGTTAGCCCTGGGTCTTACTTTGTAAATACAGCCATTAAAAAGCAAGATTTGTAGTCACGAGTGGAGTGTACATCCCTAGAGAAAGGGCCCTCAGTTCAGATCATATTTTTGATGTGTATCTCTTCATTATCTTGCTTGATGATAACGATTTAAATGCCTTGGGATAATTTAGTTTGAAAGTATTTGTCTTTGGGAGTTGGTTCTCTCGTCCTTTACATAGTCAGGCCTTGTGGCTGTTGGGGTTCATTTTCTTACTTAAAATCATTTAGAAAATACCTAGTAGGATAAGAGATAGAAAATACATAGTTAGGAGGAGGCAGTGTTAATGTTGCAAATATTGAAGCTAACTTAATTGACTTAAATGTTGATTTTCTATATGCCTAATATGTAATCTAATGTACATGTAATCTTAGAATTATGTTTGCAGTTGGACATTGAAAACATTACCTTTAAAAATAGGTGTTACCCATCTCTATTGCAGTTTCTGTTATTTTGGGCAGTAATTCTAAGACAAGCTGGTTATATATTTGGTTAAAAAATGGATTTTAAAAATGTTAGAACTGGATGGCCATATAATTTATTACTCAAGTCAGGACACTTTCAAGAGTAAAAGAGGAACTATTTGTAATTATGCTCAGACAGTAGGTGTGGTCAAGCAGTTGTAGGAGACTTTTTTCCTAAAGGTTAAACCCTTTTTATAACTTGAAATGGAGGAGAATCAGAGCTGAAACTTTTGTGCATATGGAAAATGCAGATTTCTCTGATTTTGTACTGTTAAGTTATATAAGTTATATCATCAGATGACACCTTTTGATTTTGTTCTGGGGATTGTTTATAGTTGACATCTTTGATAAATGACATCTGATTTTATTTATGTGCTGTTTTCTCATTCAGGAAAAGAAAATTCTAGTTTTGAGAATCTAGTTGATTTTTTTTTTCCTGTTTGTGAAAGTCCTTTTCAATGTTGTTTCTCTTCATTTTCTGCTTTACTATTTCAAAATTCCTGCAATGAGCATGGATCTTAGAACACTTAATATTCTAATGATTTGAAATAAAATTTGGGGGGAATTCCCTGGTGGTTTAGTGCTTAAGACTCTACCTTTTCACTGCCAGGGACCAGGTTCAGTCCTTGGTTGGGAAAGTAAGATCCCACTTTAAAAAAAAATCAAATTTTGGAACTCAGAAAAAGAGACAATTATAACTTTTTATATCTTCATATGATGCAAGTCATTTCAATATTTTTTATCCTGAGTACCTGTATTTCATGTTGTTTCATTTTGCACATTAGCATGTATTTTTTTCTGAAATAAAGTTTTTTTGCTTTGGATTCAAGGATCAAGATTATAGGACTGGCCCAAGTGAGGAGAAACCAAGCAAGCTTATTCGATTAAATGGGGTGCCTGAAAATGCCACAAAGGAAGAGGTAAGGCTCTTGTTCTTTTTTCTTGAACTGCCTAACTCCTCAATGTTAAGGAACTTGGTAACTAAATTATGGATGACCTTAAGGAAGAATTTGGTCAGAATATACAGCCACCAGAGCAAACAGAGCTTTACTCTGTGCTAGGCATTGTGTGATACTTAAAAGCATTAGTTCATTTATTTATCGCAACATCCTATGAAACAGGTACTCTTTTATTCATTCATTCAAAAATGAAGCACCTTTGTATGCCAGGCAGTGTTCTAGGCACTGAGTGATACAGTAGTGAACATTATAAAGTCACTGCTTCCATGGATAGTAAAAAGAATAAGCAGAGAAAAAAATTCAGGCAGTGATGAATGCTTTGAAGAAAACTATAGTAAGGGTTTAGAGCGTCACTCGGGTATAGGCGGTGTTAGATTGGGTAGGTAGAGAAGACATCACTGAGGAAGTGACATTTGAGCCCAGGCTTGAATGCAAGTGAGAGAACAGTCCATTTGAAAATGGGGAAAAGAACTGACCAGGCTGAGGGAGTTCAGGGACCATGGCCCTGGATAGGGAGGAGCTCATTGCATGATCTTAGGTTTAGAATATGAGACTCTGGGTGCTGAGAGGTTGCACAGCACATGAGGAGGAGAGATATGGAATACTGGCAGTTTCATTTCAGAGCTTGAGCTCTTGAGGTTATGCTCTTCTGCCTTTTTTTTGTACTTGAGAATTTTTGAGTAATTATGTTCTACTCATTGAATAGTTTTGGAATGCCTGGAGTGTACTTGGCTTAATTTGGACTTTGTAAAGTAATCATAGCTTTAAAGTTTGTAGAATAAAAACCACTAGGGGAAATATAATATTTAGTATTTGATTATGATGTGTGTCATTACTGTGCATACCATATTCTTACAGATTCTTAACGCCTTTTGGACTCCTGATGGCATGCCTGTGAAGGACTTGCAGTTAAAAGAATATAACACAGGTGAGTTTCATGACTTGCATGCAGCCTTGGGTTCGGAAGAGTCTGTCAGATCTCTGCATCTTGTGCTCCTCAAAATTTTTTTTAAGAAACCACAATTAAGATTTCCAGAAGCCTCCTGTTGATGCCTTCAAACAACAGCCAGCTATACCCTTAACTGTAGTTCTTTGTGGATGTTTGTCCACTCATGGGTGATGAGGATGTATGTTCCAGTACTTCTGAGTGCCTATGAGATACAAAGTGAGTGTTGTAGAATTTGTCCCCAAATATATGTTATGCAATTAAATCATTAAACTTGCTGCTGATGTTCTTCATGGCGGTGGAAAGTTTCTGTTTGAGCTGGGTAAGATTTTAATTACCTTACTATATGTAAAACTTTACGTGTCGTTGCTTCAACGTGGAATTTTCAACTTGCCAGAGAAATTGTACAAGTGAGTGGTTTCCTGAGATTTTAGTCTTTCTGAGGACAGAGTCCTGCACCAGCTATTATGTTGAAATCCATGAATAGATCCCAGAAGACCTTTCTTTTTGACCTCTGTTCTACAGATTAGATTTTCAGAATATCCTCCGAGTATCTTAGAGTACCAAATGTGGTCAGTTTCTTCAAATCTTATTATAGAAAAAGTAGTCAGAAGTGAAATGTCAAGCACTGAAGGTATTGGACCAGTGTTTTTAGGACTACCCAATATGAAACAAATAAAGGTAGTTTTAAAGTGATCTATTTTAAATTAAAGAAAGTAGAGCATTAGTCTTTTCACAAGTCTTAGAATTTCAGTAATTTATGTTAAAGAACTCTTCAAGTAAGAGCAAGCCATGTTTTTGAGTATATAGTTTACCTTTAAACAGTTCACCATGGAATAACATTTTCGCGTTAACTAGATTACTTCTGATTGGTTTTATAGAATAAAACTGTCCACAAAAATTTTGGTGCTTGAAATAATCTAGTGTTTGTGTTAAGTACAGAAATTGTTTTCCTGTAATTTGACAGTGAACTCAGGAGCATTATTTCTCAGAAAGCTAATTATTTCTTTGTTTGAAACATGACAGCTCTAAATTTGTGGAAATATGACTAAGAGTAGGTATGTTCTCAAACACAACTCTTTTGGGTTGATGGGTATGTGTCTCATACAGACTTTGCTGATTTACTATTAACTTTGGAAATTAAAAATAGAATTTATAGGCTGCAGTTGCTTTTTGACTCACAGGGCAATAACTTCAGTTTTGATCTTATTTCATGAACTGTACTTTCATTAAGTATTTGTGTTTAGGAAAAAGATGTGTCTTGGTATTTAAATGACGGCAATTTTAATTCTTCGTTTCTTTAGTACTCATTGACTTTCTACATGAATTGTCAGATTTATTAGCAGAGTAAAACCTATATTGATTTATAGGGTTCACAGAGGAAGTCCTTAAGTTTTCTGGCTCTGGCAGCTATTAAAATAATAATTGACAGACCAGAGACATTGATACACATGTGAAATCATTCACGACAGTAGTTTAGAAAAAATCAGTTTTCAGGAAATTCTGCCTTTTCTTGGCATTTTAATACATGAAGTGATAGTGTATTAAAAATACATATGCATATATGGAAATGTTGAACGTGTTAGTTGCTCAGTCATGTCTGACTCTGCGACCCCATAGACTGTAGCCTGCCAGGCTCCTCTGTTCATGGAATTCTCTAGGCAAGAGTACTGGAGTGGGTATCTATTCCTTTCTCCAGAGGATCTTCCTGACTCAGGGATCAAACACATGTCTCCTGTATTACAGGCGGATTCTTTACCTGGTTTGAGCTACCACAGAAGCCACCATATTTGTACAAGTGCATGCACACATACACACCATATTTATATAAGCTCACATACACACATACGCACACACATGTATATATACTTCTTAAAATGAAAGAATTGAAAGAATTGGATTACCAGTCCCGTATTATCCATATTATATCACTGTATGGCAAGTAGAATGCGCTTTTGAAATTATCAGTCATGTCATGTTATTCCTCTCCCTAAAACCCTTTAACACCCTTCCATCTCAGTTGAAAGAAACTCCCAACTTCTTGTTCTGACTTGACACAGTCGTGCATGAGCCTGCCTTGGCTCTTTGTCTGACCTCATTACATGCACGCTTCACCTTTCTTAACCTGCTCTAGCCCTCCTGAGCCTGCTCTCGTGGACTTACTGCTTTGTCACAGCCTTTGCATTGCTCTTCTCTGATTCTCACTTTCTTTGGGGGTTTAGTTCTTGGCTTCAGTTTCAACTCTCAGAGGCCTTGAGTCACCATCCAATCTAAAATCATTCCTCTGTCATTTTATATCGTATTTTTGTCATCGTAGGGTTTATCACTTAGATACTTTTCTCAGTGGTTTTGTGTGTTTATTCCTCTCTTTGGAGAGTTAGCTTCGTCACAGTAGGAGTCTTGTTTGGCTTCTTCCCTCCTGTTTCCCCAGTTCTTAACTCTGCCTAGCCCAGATGGGTTCCCAGTATGCATGGAATGAATAGTGTATCTGGAGAGCCCCTGTGGTCTCCTTTCAAGTGAGGAGACCCCGTGGCGTTACAGGTTACTTTAGGGTTTACAGCAGTGCACTCTTCCTGAGTGCTGAAGGATATATCTTGAGACAGTCAGATATTCTGAGAACTTTTAACATTTACCTGTTCAAAGATTATGTGTGAATTTCAGTAGAAATGGTGTGTTTTATAAACAGCCATCAAGTTTTTAGGTTAGGATAACCTTCACAGACCATGTAGATTGGATGTTGTTCATAAGAGGGGGGTTGTGGGGTAACGTCCATCCTTGTAGTTGATGTATTGGGCAGCTAGTCTGTAACAGAAAAGCTTAATGCCTCTTCACTGACTCGAGTAATTATCAGCTTAATTTTTGTCTCATTTAGAACTGTGTAAGTACAGGGCCACAACTTTTATCTAAAATCTGTAGGGTCAGATGAATTTATGAATTTTTCTGATTATAGAAAGGTGATGTGGTCCAATAGCTTATATGTGAATTATATCCCCCAGTGGAATGTGTATAAGATATAATACTTCTGCAGAAAATGAATATTCTCACTAAGAAGACTTAAAAAAGACTACAAAGAGACTATAGTATAGGTCAAGATGTATCTCCAAATGACTTCACTGAAAATTTACTGAAAAACTTGACAGGGGATATTTAGATTTTGGAATTACAGATAATGGATAATGAACGTATACCTGTTGTGTACATTTGAATTTTTCTATTGCCAAGTGCAGATATAATAGTAGCCCTATTAATTATAAAATACCTTGACTTATATGATTACATTTCTGGGGAAAGTATCACGAATGAAGTGTCTTTTGGTGACTGGGCAAACAAACTCTGGTATATACATACTGTGGAATACTACTCAGCAGCAAAAATGATGATACTATGCATGCAGGTTGCATGCACATAACAAGATGGGTAGATCTCAGAGACATTATGTTAAGTGAAACTGGGCTCAAAAGGCTACATACTGCAATAAAAAGAAACAGGGTACTGATACATGCTACAACCTGGATGACCCTTGAAAATTTTATACTCACTTAAAGAAGTGAGGCAGAAAAGACCACAGTATTGTCTGATTCCATTTATATGAAATATCCAGTATAGCCCTATCCATAGAGACAGGAGGTGGATTGGGTGGTTGTCAGGGGCTGGAGAAGAGGGAAATGGGGAGTGACTGCTTAATGGATATGAGATTTCCTTTTGGGAGTGATGAAAACGTTCTTCTGGAACTAGATAGAGGTGGTGGTTCTATAACATGGTGAATGTACTTAATGTCACTGAATTGTACACTTTATGTTTTGTGTATTTGATCATAATTTTAAAAATGACTCCATACTGTATGATCCTATTTATATGATGTTCTGGAAAAAGGAAAATGACAGGAATAGAAAACAGTGGTGCCAAGGTATTGGGGGAGGAGTTGACTGTAAGAGGGAAGCATGAGTGAATTGAGGGGCATGATGGAACTGTTTCATATATTGATTGTAGCAGTGGTGAATGAGTGTTAAATTCACTGAAGTTGGCACTACTGTAGTTATGTAAGAGAACATCCTTATTCAGCTGGATGAATGCTTGAAGGAAGGTAATGATTAGTCAGAGAGATCAAATAAAAGTGACATCCTCTGAGTGTCAGAGAACTGAAATTAATCAACTTTTCATTAGTGTTATAGGAAATGATCAGACAAGAAGTAGAGAAAAATGTGTACAAATAGACCTGCCTTTTTTGTGTGTTTTCTGGAAGGCTCATTATACCTACGTTCCAATGCATATTTTTTAAAAAAGAATATTTTCAGCCTCTAAAAATGTAGTTGGATTGTAAGAATTTGTAAGTTCCCAGAGAGGAGCTGTTTTCTGTATAGGAGACCTTTGGAGGCCTTAAAGGTCTTGGTTGTTTCAATTTCGGTATGGGGGAAACGTCTCTATTATTTCTTCTTACTAAGAAAGGGCTGCCTTGCCTTCAGGGAGTTTGAAAATGATCTGGAGTACTTTGTTGTTCAGTTGCTAAGTCTTGTCTGACTCTGCCTCCCCATGGACTGCAGCACAGCAGGCTTCCCTGTCTTCACTACCTCCCAGTTTGCTGAAACTCATGTCCATTGAGTCATTGGTGCCATCCAACCATCTCATCCTCTGTTGCCCACTTCTCTTCCTGCCCTCATTTTTAAAAAATTTATTTTAACTGAAGTAATAGTTGATTTGCAATGTTGTGCCAATCTCTGCTTTCTAGCGAAGTGACTCAGTTGTACACATATAGCCATTCTTTTTTTTAATATTCTTTTCCATTTTAATTTATCATAGGATATTGAGTATAGTCCCCTGTGCTATTCAGTAGGACCTTTAGGACCTTGTTTAGGTAACATTTTAAAAAATGAATCAAATGTACCTGAGTGATGGCGACAGGGTAGGAAAATCATTGCTTAATGAGTGAAGCTTAAGCTTCATTAAGTTTTTCCTAGTAACCTTGCAGTTGAATTTATGTCACA